TACATTTGTGCTGAGCTAGTAGAAAAGAATTCCACTCTGAGATCCTTTATGATTTTCTGCTGTTGCTTATTTACTATTGATGCTATTAACTCATACATTTGAGCCGAGCTAATGTCCTCTGCACTAGTTCTGGGTGGGCATTGGGTTTCCTCCATATGTTTCTGCATTTGATTCTTTACTGCAGATGTTATTAATTCAGGGATTTCTTTTTTCTTTTCCAATCTGAGTTCCTCTATACCTTTCTGCAGCTGTTTCTTTATTTCAGAAGCCGTTGATTCATTCCTTTCAGCTGTGATATTCCCAATTTGTTCTGTGTTAGTGTCCTCTGCACTTGTTATGGGTGGGCTTGGGTTCTGAGATTGCGTTTTGTTCCTTCTCGTCATTTTGTATAGCACTGTCTTCTGACCTTTGTTGTAGATCTTTGTTGCAGTTATAACCTTAGCACCTATTGAAGTTCAGGTGAAGATCTACAAAGTTTGGATTTATCCAGCTGTGCCTGGCTTGGGTCTGGCTGCTGTGCTCAGCTCTCCTGTTGCTGACCTTGGGGGTGAACCTGTTGTGCCCCTCTGGCAAGATTTTCTGCTTCTGGACTAGCTGGGTGGTTCTGTCCCCTATATTCTGCAGCGATTGCAGATGCAGGGTTTCACCCAGGCCTGTATGCCAGGCCTGAACTGAGTCTGGAGGGGACAAGGTGGAGTAGGGGGAAGAGGCAGCTCTCCCACACATTCACTGGGCTTGGGCTAGGACTGGATCTGGGGGTTCCCGCAATACGGCAGAAATTCCTACTCGGTGGGCGGGGTGGTGGTGGGGTACTACAGAGTCATGGGGGGTGTCCCAAGGGGGTGGAAGAGGGTCTCACCCACACTGTGCCTGGTCTGGGACCAGAAGGTCCTTCAGGCACAAGGTAGCCGGAAGCTCTCCCACACACTCACTGGACCTGGGCTAGGACTCTCAGCTGGATTCTTTGGTCTTTAGCGTGTGGACAGATTTCCTGCACTCTTGTGAGTCACTGTGGAAAATCTTATAACATATATCCTGTATTGTTTCTCTTGCAAAGACCCTTAGCCATAACAATGTACCACATATTTTATTTGTTTTTGGTCTATCAATTATATTAAAATATTTATTTCTTTCATGGTAATATATTTTTTTTCAAACATGCACATCTGACCATTTTCCTTTATAAATTTTGAGGCTGTAAAGTTAGTTGATACGAATTCATAATTTTGCCTTTTTGCTGAGTTCATCATGAGAAATGGATCTTCTTTTATAAGTGCCTTCTACCTGAGCATTTATTTTGCCCATATATTACCAAATATTTGAGGGCCTTATCCATTGATTTTTTTCTAAATAGTATTTCCATAGAGAATATGGCATATTGCCATCATCTGTCAATCTTATTATTTAGTTCACTTATATTTGTCACTTATATTTTTATGTATGGCCCTGCTTTTTGTTTTGTTCTGTTTTATTTTTCTATTCTATCAAGGTTTATGAAAATTAGTGTATTTCTCTCCACTAATGAGAAATATAATCCGCACTTCTATTTCTGTGATACGATGCGTCTTTAATTTATTCTAAAAGCAGTCTGTTTCTTCTGTTCCCAAATGTACATTTTAACCCCCACTCCTGTTTTACATGTTACTATCTAGCATTTTTTTAAAAATTGTATTTGGTTCAGGGTCTCACTACACACCTCAGACTCTTGGTGATCTCCCTGTCTCAGCCTCCCAGTGCTGGGAGTACAGGCATGCGCCACCATGCTCAGTCTCGGTGGCTGGCTCAGCAGGCCAGCGCAGCATGTGGTGCCAGGATTAAACCCTGGTCCCTGCACTTACCTAAGCAGGCGTTTAATCTACTGAGCTATCTCACCAGCCCTTAGCATTTTTTATTGTTGCCCATGAGATGTCACTCTTTTTATGCTGTTTTATTAACATTTATCTCATTCTTTGTTCAATATCTGTCATGCATCTTAGATTTTTTCCTATAGGATCATTTTCCTTCTCCCTGGGCACCATCCTTGATGTTGGGATCACATGAGTTTGAACTGTTTCTCTCTGTCTAAATGCTTACTTAAGTAGAATTTTCTTGTCCTCCAATGGTGGTGACAGAACAACAGGGGCAGCTAGTCATCCAGGCCGATATGCCCACCTCAGGCCCAGAACCAGGGTGGCTCCACCTCACACCTGCCCTGGGTGCCGCAAGGCTGCAGTGCTCCAACTAGGAGCATGTACTCCTTCGTCAACTCCAGCACTTGGCCTCGCCCAAGAGGCCTAGAAAGAGAGGATGTGACAGAAAGGGAGGCACACACAGCACTTAAAACCAAGGGAACTCATGCTTTAATAGACACTGAAATCACAAAGGAAGAAGGCCAAGTGCCTTAGCAGTCTCAATAAAAATATGAAGTTCTTTTTACATGGCAAATTTTGTAATATAAAAAGTTTAATGCCGCCTGGAAACTGTGTAATTTACAAAAACAGTCCACATAGGCCAAAGGTGGCTAACACTGCATTGGAGAGCGTGAGTGGCAAGTGGGGAAGGAGACTGAGGAGGGAGAAGGGCCGGGTGCTGACAGGGCATATCGCTGAGGGTTCTGATGTGAATGAGGGCCTGCTCCACAAGCCACAGTGGGCTCAGAGAAAACAACACAAAATGTGATGAAAATTATACAATTTTACCTTGTACTAAAGCAAACCAGATTATTGCATATTTGTCCAACTTGAACTAAAGCTAGTAGAGTTACAGGGCAGACGGAATGTGCTGTGCTTGCCTACTGGAGGCCCCCGGGGCAGACAGTAGCAGAGTCAAGACCATGTAGGCTGTGAATTGAAAAAAATGGGTTGGAGGTGAAAACTAATGCATTTTATGCACACGAACAAGGATTACACCATAACTTTTAGGAGCTAATTTCCCATGGTACTTTGACTTGGTCAAAAACATCAAAGTAGTTTGAGCTTCACTAGTGTGAATCAAGATAGTCTACAACCTTGCCTTGCGGTCCCACCATGGTTTCTAAAAGAAGATTTTATGGCCTATCTTCAATGTATTTGTTGGCATCTGGTAGAAATACTGTAGGAAAGGGCTTTCTGGTTTCCTGAGCTAAAAAGAAAAACAGATTCAACCCTAACTACAAATGGAAAGCAAAACAAAACACTTTTTGTAAATTTTTCCCACACTCATTACTCTTCCTATGAGAAGACGTCAGTGTGGCTAGGCAGATGTGACTTGCCCTAGTCCATGTGGCCCCTTCTGCGCTCAAGGTCCCATCATACCCAACGGTCTTAATACACTTCCCAACAGTCATTGGTCCTGGGTTGCAGAAAGAAAACATTATTCCAATTGTGCTGCCTGTTGTCTACCAGGAGCCGGCAGACTTTCTCCTAAAAGGCCAGGTGTTAGCCGGGTACAATGGCAGGCCCTTGAAATGCCAGCCACTCAGGAGACTAAAGTAGGAGAGTCCCAAATTCAAGGTAAGTTAGTGAGATCTTTTTTTGAAATAGAAACTACAGGGCTAGGGATGTAGCTCAGTGACAGAGTACATACCTAGCATGCATGAGGCCCTGAGCTCCTTCCTCGGTACCACCAAAAAGAATAAAAAAAAAGGTATATATTCCATTACTTTAGCTTTTGTGGGCCAACAGGCAAAATCAAGACTATTATGTAGGTACTTCCATAATCATTTAAAGGGATAAAATCTAAGCTTATGGCCATAAAAAGCAGATGGCTTACCAGCTTTAGCATATGGATCATAGTTGCCAACCCCTGATCTATACAAAGAAATCTGTGTGAATTATACAATCTTGCAAAATTTTAAGTGCATAATTTTTTTAGCGTAGCCTGAAAACTCACTTTGATTTTGGGATTTTTATATACATTTCACTCTTACAGAAACACCAAGACTGACAGACAGTAAACAGAAACAATGATTCTGGTGATCTTCAGATTGATCCCATCATTTGATCAACTTTGTTTTCCTTCACTGGAACTTAACGTCTAGGACAATGAAAAAACATTCTGTTTGGCTGGAGGATGAAACCTCAAGCACTAATGTAGTTGGGACTAAAGCCAAGAGTCCATAAGTCTTCCTAGTAGGCTTGATCACCACAGGAAGTGGGCTGGGGTGGAGGGATTTGCTGGGGGTGGGCAAATGAGGCAGTGCTCAAAGAGGGGGCACAGGGCTGGGGCTTCCCTACAGGCTCCTGGGCACTTGGGAAAGAGCTGGGGAGATGTGCTGAGGAAGGGACACCTCGCCACCCACGTGTTGGTTAGATGTTTGCTTTGAGGTGTGTTCTTTGTTTTTAAGGACCTGGTTTCATTATTTAAATGCACAGTGCTATAAATTTGGCTTTTCTTTGCTACACTGGTCCTTTGATTACTATTTTTTCCTAACATAAAGACATCTTCAGAATTGCTTAATACTTTTATAAACTTTATCTCTTCCAGTGTTGGGGTCAGGGTTAGAATGTGCCATCCTAATTGTTTGTGAACATGATTGTTGGGTTAGATGCAAAACCCTCTGATACAGCTCACGAGAATACCATGAACTGTGGATACTATCCCTTTTTCAGAAGAGTATGTTAAGGAACAGGTGAAGTGAGTAGTATACACTTACAAAGTGGAACCCGCCTGAGGTTCAGACTGCACCTGGGTGTCTTCATGTTCATGTCCCTGCTGCCAGGCCCTTATGTCCCCTCTGTGCGCTGCTGATGTCCTGGGCCTGGTGGTTGTGCACCCTTATATGACAACCCCTCAAAGTAAGACTGGAGAATGAGAGCGTGAAGTGTAGCTGGAGAACGAATTCTCCAGCTAAGCTTAGTACTAGTATGATTTTCAACATTCCATTTCTTTACTTTAAATAAATTAATGGTTACCCCTACCTAAAAACTACTCCCTTGTCTGGTCCAAGCTGGTCCTTCAGTACACCCTCTCAGTTGGAGGAAATGCCCACCTTCATTTTCTATGGTTCCTATTGATTTCTCTGTTTAGCACTAATTCGGGTGGACGTGCCAGCCAAAGGTGCCCTGCTCCTTAGGGGACAGGCAGGGGTCTTCTGCAGCAGCTGAGGCAGCTTGCGGAGGGATAGGCCCTGGGACTACGGGAAGCTGGCAACGGACTGAGATAGCAGAGGTTTACAGGGCCTTGAGCTGGGGAAAGAGAATACAGTTAAGCAGCTAGTACAAGGGAAAGGGAGATGGAAGGAGAGTTCTGGTTCAATCTAGTTAGCCAGAGGATTCTTTTTTTTTTTTTTTTTTAACTTTTCAATTTTTTAAAACATTTTTTCCTTAGTAAGCAAACTGAATAATTTTAACTTTTTTCCCCCCAAGCTTAATAATTGCTTATGGTGTATGACTATTCAAAATTTGATATTTTAGAAAACTTTCTGAGCTTTTAAAAATAATGGCTATAAATGCAAAGTCCTATTGATAAGAAAACCAAGCTGTTTATCCATGTACAAAAAAGGTCGGTAATGTTTTAAAAGCACAAAGTTGCATTTTGAATCACAATTGCATAGTTCTAAAATGCCTGGATAAGAGTTACATAAACTTTTTAAGAAAATTCAAGTTTGGCTGATCGCAGGGCCCAGAGCTTCACGGAGCAGAGCAGTTCAGGCTGGAAGCACCGTTTCAGTGTGAGTTATTGCATTGTTGCTGGGATGCTGAATATCGTGAGACCAAAATTGCTACCATTTAATTATAAATCATTGGCATTTTAAAAACCATTATTCTGTTTTTGGCTAATATAACATTTGCATGTAGAATTCAACTTAAATTTTCTATCCCGCCCCAGCCAGCATCTGAAGGCCTTAGAAAAGCTCTATTTGTACTTCTGTGTATAAAAGGTACTGCATATAGACCTCTTAGCAAAATATGTGCTCCCTTTCCTCTCCCACCCCAGAACCATGACCATTTTTGTACAAAATCCTGTTGAAGAATCACGTCAAAGATGAGAAACAGGGAGTTCCAGGTAAACATTTGGTGGAGAGTGTAGAAAACGCCATGAGCCTCCTGCACCGACCAGAAGTCCTGGCTGTGGGCGAACCTGGCCCAGAGCAGCAGCATGGTGGCGTGCGGCGGCTGTGGGGCTGGGAAGTCCCCACGCCCAGAGAGCCCACCCTGGTGAGGTGGTGCTGGTGGCTGTGTGGGGTGACTGCTCCAGGCGAGGGGACAGCCCGAGGGACCTCAGGACCCTGTGCATGCTGCTGTGTGCAGAGTCAGTGGGCACGAAGATGCTTTAGCATTTGGAAGAAGGGAAGAACCTTCCTGGGGAGAGGAACTTGTAGCCATTAGCTGAAGGGAGTCTTAGGGGGCGTTCGGGTGCTGGGGGGAGAGGGCCAGTGGGCAGCAGCGGGCCTAGCGCTGTAGTCTCGGTGCGCCAGTGGCCATTGGGGGGTGCTCTGGGGGGCACCTCGTCGCGCCTCTGCAGAGACAGCTCCTGAAGTTCCAGCTTATCTGCCTCTTCCTCCTTCTTGTTGTGCCGAGGTGACAGGTTTAGCAGGCTGAGCACATCTCTCTTGGAGGTCATGGTTCCCGGCGGCCCGCGCGCTGCTTTCACAGGACCTGTAGGATGTGGGGCTGCGCTCTGCCAGAACATCTTCAGGTTGTGCACGGCCTGCACCTTCTCGTCGATGGCTGCCAGCTTCAGCTTGTCCAGATCAGGAGCATCAGCTGGGCTGGAGCGCGCAGAGCCCGTGGAAGAGTAGGAGAGTGCGGGGGATGGGGCACTTCCAGCAGGGGATTGGTGGCCTGAGCTTGGTGACATGTTCCGTGGTGACTTGGAAATGTGCGCACTGTAAGGAGAGCTAGGGTACTTCAGTTTAAAGAGCGGCTGATCAGACAGGGAGGCCTGCGAGTCACAGCTGGGGGACGGGCGGCCACTGTGCTGGCTTGGGCTGTCTTTGAGGGACGCCTCTGAAGTGGTAGGGCTGCTATACCCAGAGCTCACCTTGGGCAGGGATGAGCTCCTGGCTGGGGGCTTTGGTTTGACAGTGACAGGGGATGGCTGGCTCTTCTGATGGGATAGCACTGGCCTGCTGAAGGCGCTTGTTTCTGACGCCCTGAAGACAGTGGCGCTGTTGCTTGGCACGGATACACCATCTTCCCGGTTGTGACTCTTGCCCACCTGACTGCCACTCCTCTGAAGACGCTCCACTGCAATCAGGTGACTTTGGGTCTCCTCTAGGATTTTCTGGGCCAACTCCTGGGGATCTAGTTTTGGGTTGCTTTCTTCTTGGGACTTCACTGTGCTGTCTGTCTCAGTGCTGGACTGGTCTGACTCGCCTGTGTCTGAGCTTGCTAGCTTCCCTACCTTTTGGAAGGGCGAGTTTGGGCTGGGGATCAGAGTCATCTTCACCGGGGAGTTTGGAGTGCTCACGCTGCCCTTGGAGCTGACCGAAACCTTCCCGCCTGCAGCCGCCCCAGCGCGGGGCTGCCTGTGGTCTGGGGAGAAGCATGTCTTTTTGCTCTCCTGGTAGGCTGCCAGGGGCTCTGTGCTGATGATGGAGAAGCCCTCGTATTCCTCCTCTTCTTTGCTGTCAGCGGGACGGCTCTGTGGGGACAGCTGGCTCCGAGGCAGGGTAGATCGCTGGGTGTAGGTATTCTTGGATCTGTCGGAGTCCTGCCGTCCCCTGGGGCCCCCAGCTTCTGACCCCACCTCGGGCTTGGAGATGAAGCTCATGGAGGAGGCGATGGAGCTCAGACTGTACACGGAGATGGCATCAGAGGCAATGCTTTCGGCCCCAGTGGGTGAAAAGGGTGGGTGCTGGTAGCCCAGGGGCAGAGCATTCGAGACAGACTGGGCTGAGGCCAGAGACTCCAGGGAGGACGAGCTGTCTAGGCTGAGGCGCTTGGGGAGCTCTGTGGAATCTAAGCACAAAGCAGTTAAATTTTTAGGTAGCTTTAATTTTCCTTTCATAATCGCAAACATCTTTATTTACACAGAAGCTAGCAAAGAATTTGCAAGTACTATGTAGCTACAACTTACGATCATGGTCCAACTGGGGAAAAAAAAAAGTAAATCATACATTCAGACCAAAACCGCCTGGAGCTCGGACCCTCACTACTATGGCCCTCTCCACACTGCTGCCTGTCGCGCAGGTCCAGCAGAGGGACCCGGGGCTGCCTTCCAGTCTGCTGGGGCCTGGTGTCTTTCGCCTTAACCGCCCCGGTTGCCCATGTCTGGGCTCCAGCCGCCTGCTCTTCCTTCCAGCAGACATGCTCAGGTGCTGTCTGCACTTGCTGTTCTCCCAACACCCCGCGCCCTTTAGGCTTTGTCTGTGCTCCCAACTCAGGGTTTGCTGCTCAGTTCTCTAGTGGAGCAGCCTGTGCTGAGGGACTGTTCCTACCCAAGTCACCCTTATCTTTTTGACCTACAGGACACACCCTCTTCCCCTGTGAGCTCATGGACTCTAGGTGCTTCCATGAACAACTCCATGCTGGCTTCCTTCTGGACCTCAGACTTAGGGAAGCAGCCAAGTAAGGTGACACCTGGTCCTGCCCAGCAGAGGGAGGGGCACATTCTCTCACCAGCTCCTGCCAGCTCCCTGCTCTCCTCTCACCTGTCCAGCCCTCCCCACCACCCCTCCAGCCTCTTGCCCGCATTTCTGCTGTCTCCGCAGGAGAGAGCTGGTAGCTTTTGTCCACTGCTCTTCAGCAGCCTCTGCTACTACATCAAGTCTCATCCCTCCCTCCCACCGCATGGCTGGGGGTACAGGAGCTGGATGGAAAAACGGCTCTTACCGAAGAGAGACAGCAGGGACTGCAACGCAAAGTGCATGGTGCGCCGACTCGCTTGTTTCCCAGTTTTCAGGATAACTTCCTCCTGACCCACCTCGCAGAGATCAAAACCTAGAGAAAGAAAGGACATACAGACCTACTTCCACATCCATGTGCCCAATGCGGCCCGAGCGGTGGGCTCCATGCAGGCCCACGGCAGGCGCTTAGCACTGGGGCTTTCAGGCTGATTTGCCCAGTGGAGCCCTACCTGCTGTGTGCAGGTGCCACTGCCTGGCGCTCTGTGCAGCTCTGGCTGCTGTGTCACCCTGAACCAGGTTCCCGAGAGCTGAGGAGCCACTTAATAAGCTCATTAACAGTTGTCTTTCTTCATCTGGTAACAGAAGAACAGTCTCCTCCCAGATTCAGATGAAAACTGGCTGCTTCATTCATCACTGAGCCCAGTACACAAAGCCAGTGTATGGGAAGGCAGTGATTTCTGCAGCACAGGAGGGGATTGCCTACATCTTCGATGCCTACTGCTGCCGGCTCTGAAAGAGCCCCTCTGGCCACAGAGGACCTGCTCATTGGGCTGAGCTAGCCCGCAGGGACTTCCCTGCCTCTGCCAAGCTGCTCCCTGACTCTCATGGCTCCAGTGAGGCTCAGAGCAGGCACAACAAAATGCTCTCTGAGCAAGAGACAGGGTATGGACCTGTTGATACCACAGTTACACAATTTCAAGAGCCATCACAGCTAGGCAGTTGATATGCTTGTAGTCCCAGCCACTTGAGAGGCTGAGGCAGGAGGATTGCATAAGACCAGGATGTTCAGGGCCAGCCTGTGAGGCAACATAGCAAACCCTATCTCAAAAACAAAACAAAACACTGAAAAAATGAAATAAAACAAAACAAAAAGACATTATAGAGGCAGCCAAAAAGTTATCTCCCTTTGGGAAGAAGCCAAACACAAATGCTGCAGCTCCCGAGTATATCCAAAGTTGGGGAGCCCCATGCAAGACTTAGAGGCTGGAGTCTTCAGCATGGCCAGTCTTCCCTTGGCCTGCTCAGCTCACTGAGCTGTCCCTAAAGCCATACAGAACATCTGGTGCCAGTCTCCTGGGGCACAGGGCAGCCAGGATGCTGAGCTCTGTGCTGTGAGCTTGCAATCTTACAGTAGCCGGGACCTGCAATACACAGTGCTGCTGTCGTTTCCCAACTGAGCACTGGAGCATGGATGCCAGGGGGTGGGGGAAGCCTGCCCTTTCCTTTTTATTCTGATTCAAGGCTTCTGAAATTGCTGTTCCATTTGGAGTGAGATTTACTGCAAGAGCCACTGGGCATTGTGGTCGCTTTAGGACATTTTCCTCCCTGAACTGGATAATAAACAAGCCCTGAAAGCAACAAGAAGATCTCAGATAATCTACCATGTATAAACCAGTAACTAATTATATAAACATAATATTTCTGCTGGAAACTTTTAGTAGAATGATCTCAATTGGCCACCACCCTAGAACTGGGCTGCCTACATCACAGACAGCCTAATAGTGCACTGGGCTGGCCACTGTGGCCTAGCTGAGGACAGGAAGGGCAGGCTGGGGCTGTGCCACCCACAGAGCATGGGCCTGTGCACACACTGCCCATGGCACACTGTTGTTCTCCCCTACTGTGAGTCCCAGGACTTTATAACTGTGAGCCGTGCACAGTGACTGCCACAGGCACAGAGGAAGCCGGTGTTGGGATTCTTGTGTTTCTTACTGGGCCATTCCTGTGATACAGCAGGCAAAGGGCACTGGAAACACAGGGTTCAGAGCCGAGGGCTGCCTCCCTCATAGCCCCATCACACCCAAGGGAGGGTCAGGCCCTGCGGGATGGAAGGAGCTCCTCCTTTAGAAGAAAGGCAGAGCTTCAACTTGGGCTGGCAGAGCTGTGTCACACTGCCCCAAAGGTGGCTGAAGGCTGTCACAAAAGAGAAGCTTTCTGGGCATAGACCTAGCTGTCTCACTCTGGCCTACTTTTGTTACTGACTACATTCATTTAGTTGTGAATTTACTACATTTACCTTGTTTATACCAGAAAGACTGCTTAAATCCACACTGTAGAAGGAAGAGGAGGAGGAGGAACAAGAGGAAGACAAGAAGGAGGAGAAGGATAGGTAGAGGGAGAAGAAAGAAGGAGGAGGAGGAGGAAAAGAAGGAAGAGGAAGAGGCAAAGCAAGGAGTACAGCCACTCAGGGCATTCCCCCTTCAAGCAAGTGGTGCCAGACAGAAATGGAGGTGGGCTGGAAAGGTTATCTAAACATGGCTGCAAAAAGGCGGCCTGTACTGAATACCGGAGTCTGCGAGTGGGACGAAACACTCTGCTTAGGGAATGACCGCCCTGTGGTGTCTGGTGGCCAGTCCCGGTGACAGGGAGTTCAGGCTGTCATCTGCAAAGGCCGTCTCTGTCTCTCTGGTTAGAACCCAAAGCCCAGCTGCCCTGTGTCTCACCCAGCCTGCATCAGCCTGGGGCTTGGCTGGTTGTTAGGCCTGGGTCTTCTCTCCTCCACATCCTGGGGCTCTTAGGCCTGGCTGTTCCTGTCCTCCAGCCCCTCACAAGCTGGGCTTCTTCACCTGTCAAGAGCTGCCCAGGGAGATACAGCACTGAGCAGGCCTCTCTGCTTCTAGAATGGAGACACTGGCATGGGAGAATTTTCAGAAGTCTTTCTTCGGCTGTCACCTAGAACACTGCCAGGTGTTCAAGAGAGAGCTGTGGAGTCACTCTCAAGAAGTCTCCACACACTTCACGGGGTCTCGTGGGGCGTTTTATCAATAACACATTCATTAGCAGTAAGACTACGATCATGTTGGGAGCTGATCAACCACTTTACATATGGTGGAAAAGGAATAGTAAGCTTCCTGGAGGGAGCAAGGACCCACTGGGGGCAGCCCTAGCCGTGGGCACATCACATGTGTTGTCAGCAGTGCTGTTTTCCTGCTGGTTGACAGAGCCAGTGATGGGATCAGTAACTGAGATTTTTGTTTCATGACTATAATTATAAGCTTTCTTTAGCCGTTAATCATGGCTTGACCTCTGACGATACAGGAATCCCAGCAGGCTCCTAGTTAGGTGATATGTTCAGATGAGAAAGGGGACATCAAATGAAGGAAATGGGAAAAATCTGGAGGGCCATGTGGGAATCACACTAAAGCACTAGAATCTTTAGACTTAACTATTTTTTAGTAATATAGTAAGAAACCACTGAGATAAGATCTACAAAAGTAGCAACTTTGCCCAGCAAAACCATCAGAAAACAGGTTGAAATGAAAAACGGAGATGAGGAAACCATCAGTTCAAGACGCTGTGTCCTACCGAGAGCTGCCAGGAACTCGTGGCACCCCGGGAGCCGCCACAGCTGGACGCTGATGGAGACCTGAATGGGAGCCGAGGCGAAGTCCTGCTCCTTCTCACCAGCCTGCAGCTGGACCAGCACCTGGTGGAGCTGAGGAGGGAGGACAGACATGAGCAGCTGGCCCCCTCGGGACTCAGCCCCAAATGACCTTGATGTCACCTGTCACTCCACCACTAATGGCCCTCTCACCTTCCATGTGCATAGTGTTTGGACTTTCCTTAAATTGTCGCATACCTACTGTGCTCTTTGTGGGGAGGCCATGGGACAGCAGAGGCGGAGTGGCCTCCTGGGGCCCGGGTCCTGTTGCCAGCCTCGTGTGTCTCCTTGGGCACAGAGGAGGGCCAAGGAGTGGGAGAAATGAGTGAGGGGCCACTACTTCCCTCTTCTCACATGGAAGTCATCTTTAGGATCCTGAGGCACAGGGCAAATCAGAACTCGACACTAACTACACTTGGAGCCCGAGCACCCAAGGACAAGCCCAGGGGACCCGCTCAGGTGTCTCCATGGCCCAGACCCCAACCTGTGAGCTCTACCCAGGGGCCTTCCTGTGAGTTCAGAGTCTCTTGCTTACTGGTTTCTGTCCCTGTTCTTATAGTGGAACTTCAAAGCCAAACCAAGGACACAGGAGGGTTAAACAGGAAAGGGGAGCCAGAGCAGAGGAGGGGACAGGTCCCTGAGCCGGTGGCGCTGGGCCCCAACCCGGAGCTCCACGGCCCACTGTGCTCCGCCAGACAGTGCCAAGTGCACAGCGAGCTCAGAGCTGCGGGGGACTGGGGTGGGCGGGTGGAGGGGCTCACCTGACGCAGTTGCTACTTAAAGTCGTACTCACCATTCCCACCATATTTTTAACAGCCTTCGGCCAGCAGATTATAAGAAAAAGAAAGAAAAAGAGAGAGAAAGAACAGAGTTTAGACTCAAGCACAGCTGTTACGCACACAAGCTGACCGCTGCCTTAGGAAGCACTGCACTGGCCGGCTCTGACCAGGAGAGAGCGAGAGGCAGCGGGACGGACGGACGGACGGACGGATGGACGCACAGGAGACGAGCAGCCACCCAGGCCAGGCAAGTCGGGCGCAGGGCAGGGCAGGGCATCTAGGCCCTACCCTCCCTTCCCAGGGGCAGCTCAAGGGGCAGGGGCATGGGCACAGCTCCAGTGCCCAAGTGACTCTGTGGGAGGGCCTCAGGGCTCCACAGTGCTTCAGCCTGAAGCTCTGCGCTGCTCCCACTGAAAGCAAGAAACTTAAAACAGCTGGCTTGAGGGGCACTCCGCCTTACCCTGTGAATGTAATAGTATAATTCTACCTTTAAAAAAATAGATTATATCCTTCTAGGCCTCCTGGGTTCTAGGTGTTTTAGTAAACAGTGTTCTTCTGGAAGTGTCTTCCTGGTGCTATTCAACAAGCAGATGTAACACAGTACAAAATGAGCAGGAGCCAAGAAAGGGAATCGTCACAGAGTGGTTCCAAATCCTGGATCGCCACAACCCTGGGCAGCAGGATAACCCTACCCCACCCCACGCCAGCAGCGTCTCCGCTGCAGAAACTGTTGCATGCTCTTACTGGGCTGCTCCACCACCCTATGTGGCTGCCACCTGGGGCCTAGTGCACGCCCTTGCCAGCTAGCAGGAAGGTCAAGGGACAGAAAGAAGCTCCAGGGCTGAGCTGGCAAGGGCCCGCAAGGTGCCAAGCAGCAGATTCCTGGGTCCCGAATGGGCTGTGCATCCCTTCACGAAAAGCACATCTGCAAGAGGCGCTCGGTGGGGCTCACTGCCCACAGTGGTTCCTGGGTTTCAGCAAAGAACATGTTTGCATCAGAGCATAAGTACTGGAGATGCTGCAGCATCATGGCAGAGTGGCCAAATGCCTGCAACTTAGGGATGGTTTTGGGATCCTTGTCAATGAGCTGAAGAAGTTGGGTGGGATGACAGGTGCAGGGCAGCATTGAATGGGAGTCCAGGAAATGCCTGGACTGCAGGTGACAGGGCCCCATAGGCATCCTCTAGAGACCCTCCATGTCCCTAGAGCTGACTGCCCAGAAGGAGCTATAAGAGCCTGTTGTGTAGGCCCAGCTCATGCTAGGGAGAGTGGTTCTCTTCCTCACAGCCCTTACCCTTTTTTCCTAAGCACACTGGCTGGCAGAGACAGTGTGCCCACATTGTCTGCTGCTCTTACCTAGGGCCAGCGTGCACTGCATCTTTCTAGCCCCACACAACCCCGGCCTGGGCTCTGCTCTCTGGGCTCTACTTACCCGGCTGATGAGCTGCTCGCCTGTCTCAGAAGCAGTGATGAGTTTGCACAGGGCCTGAAGGGCAGGGTTGGGCAGACCTAACCCAAGACAAGGACGGGAATTATTCAGAGGGAACTCTGCACCCACGTTTCTGCCACTTGCCAGGGGAAAGGCCCAATGCCCAGCATTGGTAGCATTTTTTGTCAGAAGTCTGGCCCAGAATGACATGCATATCCACGTGGCACTTGGGAGACTATGGGCCCCAGCACAGGAAGGAGCAAGGCCTGGCATGGCTGCGGTCCTCTAGGTGTGATCACAGTCCTGGGGCTTCCTCAGGACTCAGGCCATCACCTCAGAATCAAGCACCAGGGGAAGCCCTGAGCACGTGCCACCTGCTTCACCCTGGTGGCTCAGCAGCTTTGTCAGAATCCTTGTGGCCAACAATTGTAATTGGTGTTTGCTCAGCACAGCCTCACATCACCCTGGGAAAGGGCAGGAACAACGCCTGCCCAGCATGGATGCCTCTTCAGGCAGGCTGGAAGACCGGGTGAAGAGCATGTGTCTGCCCCAGATTAGCAATAGGAAGCTGGGGCTGGGGCTCCCTGTCACTTCTCAGGACACTTCTTCCTCGAGCTATGAAACCTAGCTTTCTGAATGCAGGGACCACAGGCACCCACCACTCTGCCCCTTCTGTGCACCAGATCCTTGGCCATCTGGCAATACCCGGCCCTGCACAGGTCCATGCCCGTGGCCTACCCAGCAGGGACTGGAGTGTGCTGCTGCACTGCTGGAGCCGGTCGCCTGGGTCGGAAGTTGGGAAGAAGACAGCTGCTGGCAGGCCGCTGGCTGGGGGATCCAGCCGGAAGCCCACAGCAGTGAGAAGGGCCTGCCAGCCGGGGATGCCGCCCACTTTGTTCTCCACACTCTGCTGGGAGGTGTACATCGCATTGCGCTGCCCATTCTGGATGCGCTGCAGGGATTTCTCCACCTGGCAAGGAAATAGGAGTCAGAGACTTGGCTTGGCCAGGTTCTTTTCCACGTGGTTTTGAGGGAATGTAGAGCTCCAAGAGTGAGGCCAGCACTGGCCCAAGGACATCAGCTGGGTGCATCAGCTGTGCACCTCAGAAGGAAGGCTGCTAAAGGAGATCTGATCATCAGATGGCAGCTGTGGGTGTGCTGGAGGATTCTGTCCTTTCCCTAGCAGGAGGGATCCTGCTCCAGACATTAAAACAACTTGCCTGAAAACAAGTCTCAGGACAGGGCCTGCCTCATTCATGGAATGGCTCCTTGTCACTATGGGGTACACGTCAGGATCCTCAGCATCTCCTTCTCTGCCCACAGCACGCCTGCCACCAGACAGTGCTCACCTCAGAGCCTTGGCAGAGAGTGCCCTCTTCCCATATTTCCCATACTGCCTGGCTTCTGGCCTCCATACCTATGCCTATACCTGGCCTGGCCTCTACACCCACAGAGCTCTTGTGCTACACCTCTCACCCATACTTTCCTCCCCTTAAAGTGTCCTCCTATCTCCCAGGCCTCAGAGATGCCGAAAGCCGGGGAACTTGCCTAGTGACATTCATTTTGTGCCAGTGAACATGCTGGCAGCATTACACATGGCCTTCCACGGGCTGACCTCCATGGCCTCTCCTGGAGAAATCTGTCCTAAGATGTCACAGGCCCTGAGGCTTTTCTTAGAGGGACACAATGAGACGCTGGGGCTTGGACATCCCAGGGAAGAGGAAGTGGCCACTTATCCCAGGTGGTGGGTAGTAGGCATTCTGGAGCTAGAAGGCCCTCAGGCCCACTGGGTTCAAGAAATATCCAGGGTAGTGAGAAGAAGGTAGGGGCTGATGAACCTGACCATGACCCCCATACCCACCCAGGAGATGGAGCCAAAGAAGAGACATCTCTTTAGACTATGTGGGTCAGCTGAGAGGCCCAGCCTGGGGAGGAAGACCTATGGGGGTGAAAGAACTTTTTTTCAACCTAAGACAAGTAGTCTAGATCAGTGGGAATGAGCAAAGACTTAAGGGACAATGGTGACCTGAGAAGGGCTCCAATGCTCAGCAATGGAAAGGGCAGCTTCCAGACATAGGCTGGCATTGGTGGCACCATTTCTCAACACTCTCCAGGCCTGTAAACGCATCTGCCTATAGCAGGGCTGTAGGATGCTCTGGGCCTGACCTGAGAGTTGCTTATAGAATGGCCAAGACAGGCCCACTTGCAATATACCAGTTACTGTCAGGTCTGAGAAAATTCCTTCTGAGGCACATTGAGCTTGAGCAAGAGACACAATTTGTCATTAGAAGTGCACAGAGTGCCACCCCAGCCAGGCGCAGCCCAGCCCCCAGTGGTGTACAGGACCTACTCAGGCCTCTCCATGGGACAAAGGGTTTGCATGGACCAGGGGACCCTGCTGTCTGGAGCCCAGAGCATCCCCAGGCCTGCGCAGGACTCTTTGGGTCCTCCTTCTTGCACATAGGGAGGTCATGGTGTGTGCAGCTCCTGTCCTGCACGGTGACTGTGACATGGTGTGGCCATGCACAAATGCCACAAAGGCCCGGCCAGGTCCGGGCTTGTCCTGCTGCCCCAGTACTCTAAGAGACCGAGGACCGTTGATTAGGCTGTCCCGGCCTTCCCTGCAATAGCCCACTCTTCATCCTCCAGGACACGCTTCCATCCTGTTCCTTTCTTCTTTTCCTCAGCCCAAGTGTGCTCTGTAGAGCCAGTTTCTCCCTCACTTTTTGCTTTTACTTTTTCAAATAAATTTTGCTACCATTAAAAAAAAAAGACTTATATAGGAGCAGAAACTTCCATGTAGTCTTTTAGCAAAGCAGAAGGATGGGGCAGGAATTGTGTCTCAGTTTCTTGACCTAATTGGTAACTTTTCTATGTTTAGGTGATACCAGGACTCCATGGGCACTCTCATTCAGATCCTGGACATATGGAGGTGGGGCAAGGGGCACAATCACACTTCTAACAGCATATGACAGAAAGACCACGGCATCTGGTAATAAAATATGTGTTAACTACTAGGGCCCTACTGTGTACCCTCCACTCACATTTTCTCTAACCTAATGATCTTAAAATGTTGGTTTCATCACCCCCTTTGATATGCAGAAGTTAAAATCTGGGAGTTAGTGACTTGCACTTGCCCAAAGTCACAGGGAAACACTGTCTTCTGTTGCCCGCCACCCTACAGTCTTGGGGCGGCATACAGCATCTATCTACAACAGTTTACACAGAGCAGCTTGTTCATGTCCCTATGCCAGGGAAACCCCAGCCCTCTCCTTTTCAATTCATTTCCAAGCAGCTCTTCCACAGGCACAGCCCCGAGGGACAGTCCCCCGATGGCCTCTTACCAGGTGCAGCAGCACTCTCAAGGCATCCCGTGCATGCTCTGGGTGCTGCAGGATCTCCGCGAGGGCCTGGCCGATGAGTGAGGAGGGACTGTTCAGCTTCACATCACTTCCAATGAGAAGGAAACCTGTAGAAAGCATGGGCCACCCCAGCAATGTTCAGGTTAATTTAGTGGAGAGCCTGGCCCAGGCAGGACAGAATCTTATGTCCACAGAATCTTATGTCCCTTTTCTTCTATGAACCAATAATGTCCCAGTGTTCAAGTAAGTGAAGACAGTAAGTTTACAGTGAAAAGAGCTTGGGAGGTACTTCCCAAAGAACAACCTGCTTTGCTTTCCCTAAAATTCCCCTGAATTTCTGTCCTTAGACCTTGTGGGCAGGAACATTCCCAAGGCAGGGGGACTAGCAGATGAGGGAGCCAGGGAATAGGAGCTCTTGAAGAATGAGCAAACTAAGTCTGGGAGGACAAACATCAGCGCTCAGCTCTTGGGTTCTCTGCCCAGCACCTGTCCACACGGCCTGTGGGAGGCCTGCCCCTGTCATTTACAGAAAGGCTCTACTAGTAGAATGAGCATTTCTAAAGTTAACAGGGCAGAGAAGGGGGTGTAGCTCATTGTTAGAGTGCTTGCCTAGCAGGCACAAAGCCCTGGATTCAATTCTGTTATGTTATGATCTAGATGTCCCCAAGAGTCTCATGCACTGAGGTAGGCTTCTGGAAGGTGAATGACTTACAGGGATGCTACAGCCAACCTGCTCTCAAGAGGTGAGGCCGGGTTAGAGGTGAGTCACTGAAGGACACATCTCCCTCCCCAGCTTCTTCTCTCTGCTTACTGGGCACCATGATGTGAGCAGCTTTTCTTCTCCCAGGCCCTTCTACTTTACGGTTTCTTTAAGCCTTCTGAATGGGGACTGAAAGTTCTGAACCATGAGCAAAAGTAAACCTCTCCTTTCTTAGGTTACAGGTGTCAGGTATTTTGTTCCAGTGGTGAGGAATATACCTAGTACAGATTTTGGTCCTGGAGAAGTGGGGTTGTTTCTGTGACTCTTCTGACCATGTGGTTCAGAAACATTTGGAACTGGTTCACAGAAGGAGTTTAGAAAGGTTTAGAGATGCTGACTAGAGAAGATTAGAATTTTGTGAGTCAAGCTTGATGAGAGATCCTGGCTGGAGTTCAGAAGTCTAGAATGCTGATAGAAATTCAGACAGTAAAGGCCAAGGTCAGGAGGTTTCTGTTTGGAATAAGAACTTTACTGGTGGTTGGACTCAAGATCATGTGCATTAAAACATTTGTCTATGTTTTGTTCATGTCTGGAGACTGTGGATGACTGAGTTAGGGGAAACAGATTAACCCAGCAGAAGAAATTTCCAGGCAGCCCAGTGTTCAGGGTATAGCACTGGTATTGCTTGCTGCTTTTAGTAAAATTCACACTGAGAAATAGGAGCAAAAAGCTCATTTAAAAAACTCTGAGTTTCACCAGGAATAAATCTCTGTAAAGGTAGGACCTATAAAGTTTTGGTCAAGGAGAGCTTGGTTTCTGAAAAGATTACCATTAAAAAGAAGCCAAGTACTTGGCATTAGGAATACAGAAAAGATGTCTTGCTGGCATTGCAAGAATCAGCAAGACCAATTTCTCAGAATGAAGGATATAAAGCTATAAGGCTTTCATTTGAGAAGACAGTTTCCAGGCACTCTGCTCCAAGTGGGCCACTTAGGCCATTGACTCCTTTGGATTCAGTTCACAGTGCTTGGCCATTCAGGCACTCAGGAGGCCTCTACAGCCATGACTGCAATGGGCCCCAACTACTGTTTGAAGTGGCAGCAGACTTTGTTGTCATCCATGTGGGGCTGATTTTATGGATATGCAGAATGCAAGAGTTGTGGGGTCATAGAAGCTTCCACTCAGCTTTCAGGCAGTATGCTGCTGGAAGAGCAGTGTGTGAAGCTCTAAGAGTGAAGCAGAAAGTGCAATGGAGACTCCAGCAAGTTGGAGAAGCCTGGAACATGGGACGTCTGAAGAAAGCCACAGTTATTGAAAAAAGATACATTGATATAGCCCATGAAAGTTGCAATTGGCACTTCTGTAGAGGTGGCGCCACCCAAGCCCTTTGGAATTCACATTTTTGCCCCAGGTGCTGGAAATGGAGGATTTAATGTTTGCCTTGTTGATTTTCAGTCTTGCTTCCTATCCCCATTCTTTTCTATCCCCATTATGGTTTGAAAAATGATACTAATGTTATCCAGATTTTAGAGAAAGAGTTAGGATGAAGGCCATTTTGCTACCAGTTTTTAAATAGGTACACAAATTGTACAATTTTTGCCTAAAACAATAAAATATAACTATTTGGAAGTAGTATTTCTGATGTTCTTCATTGCTGGCCTTCTGCTTGGCCCCAGGGCATTCTGGGGGCTACAGGACATTGCAGACTGGAGAACCAGGAATGTGTGGACAGTGAGAGGCCAGTGGGTCATAGCTATGCTTGTACTTGATGGTCCTGGCCTGGAGGGCAGGTTCTTTAGCCTGCTGAGGGCTGCTGCATGTCTGCTATGGATACATGTCCAGTGTGGAGTGCAGGGGAGGCAGGTGGCAGCATGGACTGAGAGCAGCCCTGCACTATAGCCGTCAACATGTTACAGGACCTTCTCCTTCCATTCCCCATATGCTCTGAGCATGCAGGGCAGCCGCTGAGCACTCACTGTGGATATTCCAGGACTTACAGTGCCTTGTGTTTCACAAGACAATTCAGTCTATAGCTGACAGATCCTCCTTGCTGCGTACCATTGGCACCACCTCATCATCTTGTGGTGGTACCACTAAGGACACTGAGCTTCAGAGGCGGTGAGGAATCTGTCTTAGATCACACAGCCACAGCACACAGCTATCTTCATCCTAGTCCTCAGTCAAATCAAGGGCATTTTTTTTTTTTTAACCAACATGGGGTTTTGAAGGAAGGTGCCACATAGCAGGCTACTCAGTTTCCAACACCAACTCTGCATTGAGATTCTGATGGCAGATGTCTGCTGCTTCCTGGTCTAAGAGCTGTTTTACTACCATCGTAGGGACTACCCACCTGGAAGAGTGTAAGGTGTGGGCATATAAGCCCCCTCTCTGTATGTGTGCCAGCTGCCCTGCCCTGCCCTTGCCCTGCAGAATGAAGTGGGGAGTGGCGGGTCTGACCTACCTGCCCAGTTGGAGGGGTGCGAGAAGGCCTTGCTGCTCTGCACCACTTTCATGGCCTCTCCCAGGGCAGCACTGGCCTTCAGGCCATTCAGCAGGGACGAGTAGAAAGCATGGATGAACATCTTGGAAGCTGCCACTGGTACTGGCCACAGAGACACAAGGACACACTGTGCACCAGCAGCCAGAAAGGCTCGTGTGAGAGCCACTACCCCGTCAGCAGTGACCCGGCTGTTGGCCTCCTGGGAGGAGCCAAGTACCACGAGCTTCACAGGCAGCCGCAGGTCCAGGAGGTCAGCAGCTGTGAGCAGCAGCTCCCGCAGAGGCGGGCAGTCTGAGATGCTTTCGCCATCGCTGGCATCATCCTGTACCCGCAGGGACTCAGGTATTGTGTAAGGGTGGCCGAAGGAGCTCTTGCTACTGGCAGGGTTGCCATCCACACTGGGTGTGAGGACCAAGGCTGACAACTTCCAGGAGATATGGGTGGCAAAGTGGACACACTCAGCCTGGGTCAGGGCACTCATGACCCTCTCCTTGGTGGCCACACTGCCCACCAAGGGCTGGCAGCCCAGCAGCTCAGACACCATATAGGCCTCCTCCTCAGCCGATGGCATGGGGCCCCACAGCCACCTGTCCATCACTGATGATGGGAGCTTGGGGTTGCCGATGACAGCTGCCATGGACATAGAGCTGGAGTATGTGGGTGGGTTCTTCCTCAGGTGACCCTGTAGGGGAGGATGCACAGATAGGTCATTGTTAGACAGGAAGGGTGGCCAGCTGTTGCAGAGGCACCTGTTTCTGGGCAGGAGAAGGGATCCTTTCTGTGGACCATCCTGAGATGGCTGGGAAGAGGTACTGTAGGGGCAAGTGTGAGATGACCCTGGCTTTTGTTTTCAGACTCTTTTTGATGTCCTACAGGAGAAGTGACCAGCTCATTATCAGACATGACCAGCTCAGAGAAGGACTATTCAACAATGCAAGTGAGTCTTAGGGAAGACAGGCCCAAATTAGAAGCTCTATAGACTGAAAAGAGCATCATGCCACTTTATATGCTGCTAAATAATATTGCTAAATTATAAAATCAGGAAAACTTTGAGCTTTGTTGGGGCCTGCCCAGTCCTGGTTATTCTCAAGAGCTCATCATACCAGCTGTGAATCTCTGTTAAGTCAGGCATCTGTATCAAAAACAGGTTGAAAACTTAGGGCAAACCAGGTTATTGGGATACAGGTCCCCCAACAAAGCTCAACATTTTCCTTCACGATAACTCTTGCCACATCTTGTGAAACATCATGTTGCAAGTTATTTCAAAGTAAGTAAGGAAGCTCTGATCGGTGCCACCTTAAGCTGTGTAACAGCAATGCCGGGCTTGCCTGGAAACAGGCCTCCTCCAAATCACTGGATGAGCTGGCAGATAGTCCTGCACTGTTGTCATCAAAACAGTCTTTCTGCAGGAGGACACCCTCTCATTTCTCAGTGGAACTGTGAGGATGCAGCTGGCCACTGGGTGGCACATAGTAAGGAAGACCAGCTCCCAGCTCACTGGGATCCACAGTCAGTCAGCAACAAAGAACTGGAGAATCCTTTCTTTTACTTTCATCTATTTCTGTCTCTTGAGAAAATATCAATTTGGCTACAAAGACAGTCAAAATTAGGATCTTCAAAAAGGCATGAACTCACCCATGTGCGCTGCCAACAACCAAGTTCAACAAAGGGGCTAATGAGGACCTGTGAGGACCCCATGTCTGGGGCCTGGGGCCTCAATTCGCCCCAGAGGCAGTCCCAGGGCTCAGTGCATTACCTTGGAGTATGGGCCAAGTGAGCGAATAGCAGGCACGGCGATGAGGGTGAAGCGTTCATACAGGTACTCGTTGGAGGAGCTGCCCTTCAGGAGGGCAAAGGGGATGAGGTAGAGTTCCCCCTCCAGAACCAAGACCAGTTGCCGGTGCCGGCCCACAGGGCCACTGGAGTGCATCAGGCCCTGTGGAGCAAGCACAACAAGATGACCCATGAGACAGGAGCCTCGGGACACCATGAGCATCCCGGAACCCAGCCAAAGAGCACAAGAATGACCAGGCAGGGACAGTGGAGTTTGGGAACTGCTGGGGCACTACTGAGAGACGTGCTTGCCCCAGGCCTGGCTGGGTGGGTAGGCACAGTGGGAGCTTCTGCTGCCTGGCAGGAGAGGTCAGAGGATAGCTTCTTATTATGATTTTTTGTTTTCTTCAGAACTGGGGATAGAACTCAGGCCCTTGTGCTTGAGAAGATAGTTTCTTAAAGCAGATGACCTGGGACAGGTGGCAGAGTAGTGTCACCAGCCAGGAAGGAGGTGGCCCATAAAGACGAGGGTGGACCCTAGTAGATCCACATGCTTCTTGGGGTGTGATGGTGCACCACAATAGCGAGACAAGGGAATGAGGATAGGCATGGCCCTCTCAAAACAGGCAGTCAGGACTCCACAGGATGGGATGTGGTCTCCATTTCGAGGGACAAGAGGCTAGAAACACAGAGGAGAGAAGGTTCAGGGGACGAGGATAGCATCTCCTGGAGAAGGGCCAGGGATTGGGCCCTGGGACCTTTGTGACCTGTGCCCCTCTTCTGAGGAGACAGACAGACAACTGCTCATTCCATTTCTCTACGGGCACATTCACTTCCAAAATGGCCAGTGATGGAGACTGAGGTCTGGGACTCAAGAGGAAAAGGAGGCCTCTGTGAGAACTGGATCCACCCAGCTCAGGCAATGCAGGCATGAGATGCAGCCACTGCCCAGCAGCCGGAGGGAGGGGATGAGGGCACAGATAAGCCACAAGCCTTCTTTTCTCCTCACCCATCCTGCTCAGGCAGAACTGACAAGCTGTGCCCCCAAGAAGCAAGCATGCTTGTGTGACCCAGCTGCCTGCTGCCCTGGGCACTTGGCTGAAGGTGGTAGAAACACTCAGCTAACCCAAAGTGACATATGCCTGGTGGGACATCCAGGATACACAAATCCCCATGACTTTTAAAAAAATTCTAGCTACGATGAAGGAAAGAAGAAATTAAAATTGTTAGGCTAGGTTTGTTTTCAGAGCACTTTCCCAGGAAAAGCTTACGGAAGCGCAGGGACTACAGGAAGGGAAAGCCAGACTGTACCCCAGTTGGTCCCAGTGCTATCTGAGGGTAACGCTGGGTCTGCACAGGAAGTGAGCAGGGCTGCAGGCGCCATGGCCCATGTGTGCCCTGCATACTGTGTCCCCTGCCCAGAGCTTCTGTTGCACCTGCAGAGGCTGTGCACTGCCGTCCCTGCGGAAGGCAGTGCTACCACGGTGCTGGGTGGGTGTGCCAGTGAACCTGTGGCACGGTCAGTAGCTATAATGGTGGCAAATGCTTACCACTCCATAAGAGCTACACTGAAGATATGTGGGCAACATGGTATGTGTGTGGGGGTTGTCAGCTATCTGCCACATGCAAATGTAGCCCACTCTTGGCTGTCACACATACCACTGACAAGGCTTTGACAATCTGCCATCCCCAAGCCCGCAGGTTCTCCCTGAGCTCCTTCTTACTCAAGCCCACGCCCTAGGCAGGCTTGGTTAGGCATCATGCTGCAGGCCACTGACCTCTCTTGGACACACCCCCTCATGGACACATCCCTGGTCACGACAGCACTTTTCCAAGGGAACCAAAAACAGACAGTGGAAGGCTGGGTGGAAGCTATAGCTTGTATTTAGATGTCCCAGCAAGTCCGCAAGTGTTCATAGGTGGGGCTTTTTGGAGCTGACTAGATCTTGGGTGTAATATACTGGGATTAAGGGTGTGTGGCACTAAATTAGTTCACTGATTGAAGCCAGCAGAGTTCTGTGTGTGACTGAGTGGAGTTACTGAAAACAGCCCCACCCCGGATGGATGGGCTGAAAGGTGAAAGGCAGGCTGCTGCTTGCTGCCTTGTTGTCGCCTGCCTGCCTTGCCATGGACTGTTTATCCTTTTTGATGCCCCTCTGCTGTGCCCCCTTGCTATTTAAGATCACGGATTACAGACTGAAACTTCTACAAAATGTTAGGTGAAGTAAACCTTTCTTCCTTTTACTTTGTGTATTGGGTATATTGTCTCAGCAGCAAGAAAACAGAACAGATTTTAGTTTTAGGAGTGAGATTATTGTTAAGACTGTAACAAATCATAAGAGTCAGGGCTCTTTGGAATTGGCTTACAGGAAGAGGTTGGAGATGTTAGCTGAAGTAGCAGCCCTGGAATTCTGTAAGCTAAACCTGATGGGAGATTCTGGGCATAAGCTTAGAAGAACAGAATGTTGATACATTACAGCCAGAGGAAACCAGGCTGAAGAGGTTTTAATTGGGAAGAAGGACTCTTGGCCATTGGACTCCAGATCATGTTATGTTCTGTCCAAAAATTTGTCTGCAATTTGCTCATGTCCAGAGATTTTTTTTGCGAGACTAAGGGCAGCAGACTAATTAATCTTACGGAAAAAATTTCAAGGGATTTGTCTAATGTTGAAGCAGTGGCAATGGTTACTGTTGAGGGCTTTTAGCCAGCTGTATCTTGAGAATCAAGAGCAAATAGCCCAGCAGTATTATTTAACATGTTTTGAGTTTGGTCAGGAGGGAAACTCCATATAAAGTTGGAGAATGCAGATGGAGCAGGGGAGAACTTGGCTGCTGACAAGGAATTGGACAATAGAAACGATGGCCCGAAGACGTCACCAGAACCAGCAGCACTCCAGGTTGTACAGCTTCAAATGTGAAAAGTTGAAAGAGAAAGAGTCCCAGAGCAGCATGTTGCAGAGTGGTACTGGCCCAGATAATTTGTTCCTAGGATTTGGGTCCACAGTTCTCAGAAATACAGGCACTTGACCTCTACAGCCAAAAGAGGAGGCAGCCTGGCTACTGCTACAGCTGGTAGCAGACCTTGCCAGCATCCATGTGGCACTGGTTCTATTGCATGAAGAATGCAAGAGTTGTAAGACTAGGAAGGCTTCCACTAGACTTCATAAGACCTGGGAGGCCTGACAGTGTGGCTCGGAGAGGCCAGTCTATGAAGCTGTTAGTGTGAAGTCTCCCATCTGAGAAACCAGAAATGTGGATCATCTAAGGAAAGCTTTAGGAGGTGAGAAAAGCCAGTTCAAGAGAGAAGACATGGGGGCTACAATCACTGAGAGTGCTATAGGGGAAGAGCCACACAAGCTCTTTGTGTTTATATCTTTTTTTTTTTTTCGGAACCGGGGATTGAACTCAGGCCCTTGCACTTGCCAGGGAAGTGCTTATTCCACTGAGCCATCTCCCCGGCCCCTACACAAGCTCTTTGGAGTTCACAATTTTTTAAAAATTATTATTTAAAGGGAAAAAAACTAGTAAAGCAAAAAATTAGAAATGATACAGAATTTCACTAAACAAAATAATAGGAATTCAATCATGGGTGGTGTATGGCATAAAGTGGTCTACAAATTAGTTGTTCAGTTTACCAGATATAGGTATGAAAAATTGGTTTAAAAAGTTATAAGAAATTAAAAATGAGAAGAAAAAATTTAATCATTAACTGCTCCTCTCAATAGAACAGCAGAAATCAGCAGTAAAATTAACTAAGCTATCCTGCATATATACATAAATATATCATTTTCCTTCCTTCTTTCTTTTGTCCTTTTCCTCAGCCCAGTTGTTCTTTCCCTTTGAACAGACTCTTTTCCTTTCATAATATCTATTATACCATTCAGATTTTGCTTACTCTTTCAGGTTCTCACACTATGGAGACAATCCAATGTGTATACATGCATGTCTTACTTATTTCATTTATGCATATGGTCTTTAGTTGCACCCATTTGCACCCATTTCCTAGAAAAGCCTTGAGTTTATCTTTAAAAAATAAATTTTAGGGCCGGTGAGATAGTTCAGTGGACTAAGTGCCTGCTTTGGCAAGAGCAGGGACCAGGGCTGGAACCCTGGTCCTGCATGCAGTGCCAGCCCCACCCCCGGGGTGTGCTGAGTTACCACCAAGTCTGGTCATGGTGGTGCACACCTGTGATCCCACCACTGGGGAGGCTAAAAATAGGAGGATCACTATGAGTCTCAGCTGTGTAGTGAGACCCTGTAGCAAATAAATAATTTTTTTCCTCCTGTCTCAGCCTCCCCAGCACTAGGATTACTGGCGTGAGCCACCATACCCAGTTTCAGAGGCCAGCACATGGGCCTGGCACAGCATGCAGTACCAGGGACCGAACTCAGGTTGTTGCGCTTGCCAGGCAGACACTTGGACTGCTGAGCTATCACGCCAGCCTGAGTTTATCTTTTTATAGCTGGGTGATACTCCACTGTATAAAAATACCACATCTTTTTTATCCATTACTCAGTTGATGGGCATTTGATTTGTTTCCAAGATTTAACTATGACAAATTGTGTTGCTAAATATCACCATGGAATGATGTTTTCAGTTCTTCTGGAAAAATACTTAACAGGAATGGATGGGTTAAATGGAACTTCAAATTCTAGTTCTTTGAGGAATCTCCACATTTATTTCCACAATGGTTGCCCCAGTCTACACTCCTACCAACAGTAGAGAAAGGTTCCTTTTTCCCCACAGACCCTTCAGTACTTGTTATTGGCTGACTTGTTGATGGTAGCCATTCTTTTTGGGGTGAAATGGAATTTCAGTGCTGTTTTAATTTGCATTTCTTGAATGACTAATGATGTTGAACATTTTTTCATATATTTATTTGCCATTTGTATTTCTTTACCTGAGAAGTGTATACTCATCTCAGATGCCCATTTTTTTGATTGGGTCTTTGAATTTGGGGGGCTCGCTTTTTAAAAATTCTTTATATGCTCTGCATAGAAGTTCTTTATGTGAGGGACAACTGGCTAAAATTTTTTCCCAATTCATGGGTTTTCTCTTTATTCTATTGGTGATTTCTTTTGATGTGCAAATTTTTTCAGTGACATGAGGTCCTAGTTGCTGATTCTTTGAAGTATTTCTCATGCAGTTTGGTTTTTGTTCAT